CCTGCGCGCGCAGTCTCGGCAGGCCTACTGGCCGAGCCAGCGTCCGATTGTCCGGTTCAGCAGACCGGCGGTCCGGCCCAGACCGGTTTAGCCCGGTTCAGACCGGCTAGACCAGTTCAGCCCATATTTTTATGTTTTAGTCCCGGTTCTTAATTTCAGTACCACTTTCAGTTAAAATTCCGGGTCCAGTTCAGTTCAGTAAATTAGTATCAGTTCAGTTCCGTACTTAACCGGTTTCAGTTATACCGATTAAGTCTGAATATCATGTTGAGTCTAGTAGAGCACTCTAACATAATTAATCAGTTAATTTATCAGTCTGAGCATAGTCCTTAGTAATTGTTTATATTATTTTTCAGTTTGATCAGGCATCAACACTACCTTCATTTTCAGCAGTTCAGGTGGGGACTCAGACTAAGTACTACATTGCTTATAATTACGGTACCATGTTTGAGGTATGTATTATTAGTATCCGCTCGGAATGGTCGCCGGTCCATTCTGGGTTCTAGTGGCCCTAATTTGCCCACTAGAGTGTGCACATGGTGTCCGGTATTAGTTTGTGCCGGCAGATGTTCAGTTATCAGTCAGGTGATTTATATCACGAGATCAGTATCAGATTATTTAGTACCGGCATCAGTTATCAGTTCAGTTTCAGTTCAGTTATATATGCCAGGATCATGATATTTTTATTATTTTCACTGTTTTACTTTAGTATGAGTTTCTGCGGAGCACAGTGTTTTAGTGCTCACGCCCCCACGTATTTCATGTTTTTCAGGTCACAGAGTCGGGGACGAGGAGTGAGCTGACGAGCTGTTCAGGATATTTGCTTTTATGTACATATTATGTTTTGGCTACACTAATGTTTCCGCTACAGTTTCAGTACTTTAAACCAGTTTTTATCCGACGCTAGTCGGTTAATATATTTATAACTGTTTTTATTATCAGATTAAAATTAACGGTTTTCAGATAAAAGTCAGATTTTACGGTAACAGTACGAATCAGTTTTCGCAAAAAGAAATATTTTATTTAGAAAATTTTGCGAAAAAGCGTACTCTGATTTCAGTAAATAGCGGGGTGTTACACCATATATATTGAAGAACAGAATTCCCGTACAGTAAAAAAAGAGATAAATAAAATAAATATATATGAACGATAATAAATAATTCTATTGTATTTATGACCCCACGAGAAAAGTCCGTGTACTCATAAATAAGAGGACTAGTTGATAGGGAATATGGTAAAGCATCGATAATGAACTAAACCTGTCGAAATAGAGCATGAAACCTTGAGAGTAAGCCGGGATCGATCCGACACGCATTAGGTTTGATCCCATGATCGAGCTATCAGGGCCAGTTCCGCGACCGAGCCTCTAGGGTCGGTCCTCAATCTAGTATGTAACCTTAAATTAGTGTGATATTCTAACACACTCGTACAAAAGTTATGTGTCTATATATTGAGAGCATTAACTGCAGATGGTTAAGTGACATTTAATTCTCATAATTACATAGTTATTGTTCATCTTCTTCCACTTCTCGATTCTAACTTGAACTTCGAGGGATTTTACGCCGAATAAACTCCGACGCCCTTTTGCAGGTACTTCATTGCACTCCTGTTTGGGCCCAAGACAGGCGTAGGAGACTCTACTTTGAACCGAAGATCATTCTGGACTGCAGTCTTTTACAATAAAATTAGTAAGTATCACGAAATTTATAATAAAAATAACACCAGACATTTTTTTTTCAAAATAATATAATTTATAACTCCCAAAATATTACAGTTCGAAGGCCGAGGCCATACAAACATCCAAATGAGACTGAAGAATGCCCTGCCCATACACAATTTTTTTTCGGAGGGCAGTTTCGTCATTTTATCCACTTAATCTACTAGCTTAGCAATAAGCCATATATGTGGTGAAGTATCGGACATCAAACCGTCCTTCCCCTCCATCTCGCATTTCAGTTGATAATCCATGACCCTTCCCTGCCCCAATACGCCCGTCTCTCTTTCGCGTTCGCCTGTTTTTCTCTCATCTCTCTCTTTCGTCTCGCCACGCGAAACCCGACCAAAGCACGGGCCCTCGCCGTTGTTATGGAATTCGAGTTCCATTTCGGTGAAATTGAGCTGCGCTTGCCTTGCTGCGTGCGACGAGATTAATAATGTTCGCAACAATGGCGGTGGTGACGCGTCGCAGGAATGCGAGGAGTGCGTGGAAGTAATGGTAGTTGGGAGCAGGAGAGATGCTGTGCTGGATTTCTGCTCCGGCTCTCCTTTCCTATCCCCTGTTTTGAGATTTTGGTAAACTTTATGCTCACTTCTTCTTTAATTTTCTTTTGTTTGTAGAAATTCATTCGCTCATGTGCATGGAAACTGAAAAACGGTGGGGGAATTATTACTTTGAGCTAGAGTTAAGTGATTTTTATAGTAGTTAATTGGAGGAACGGCAAAGTTTCAGCTGCCTACTGGCCTCGTGATCATCCAGTTGCTATATATTTATCACTCAACTCTAGTGAATTTGCCTTTCAAATGGTTTGAAGTTGCAACACGGTGCTTGAAATCTCCAGCATTATCTGTTAGAAATGGATTGAGTGTGATGGCATCACTTCTCTAAATTGTGATCATCACCATCATGATCACATTTTAGAGTCGTTGATTTGCTAAAGTTTTACTTGGCCATTGTCGCACTGGTGCTTGATAGTACTCCATTGTTAACATGACCTGTTAGCTGGTTTTGGATTGTTGATTTGCACAATTAGTTGCTCGTGCAATATTTATGATTTTGTTTGCCTTTTCTTTAAGGGTATTTGTTGTGTTACTTTCTGGTGTTGTAATTTGTATTGTCTTTGCGTTAATATTTAGAAAAAAATTAGTTGTTTGCCATTAGATATATTGATTTCTTCAATGAACCTGAATGTTAACTATATGGCAGGAATATTCTTGGTGCAGACACAGAAAAGATGCAACTACAACAAAAGTCTATTAGCCCAGGTCAGGCATCTGAACACAGTTGCCCTTCTCTAATATGCTCATGCTATTAAATTTTCATTTTTCCTGGTCAATCATTCTATTAATTAGCATCTTACCAGATAATACTGTATAAACTGTTGGGTTGCTTATTTCTGAAATTTGTTGTGTAACTTTTAAGTGTATGTTTTTGTTTAACAAAAAATCGGGATCAATCCCTTTATGGTGAACAATCAACTTACAACCAAACCACAACCCTGGCTCAGGCTCAACATCAAACAGTCATTACTTACTGCAAATGTTTCCCAAGTAGTCTTTTATCCTATCTTCCTAAGAAGTCTTTTATCCTATCGTTTAGGATACACAAAACGTAAAATTTTATCAGAAGTTTCTCTTCTCCTCGTCACCTGTCAGTTCACCATCCTTATGACCATCACACCTATTTGCTGAACTGTGCCATTCTTTTACTTGGCTGTAGTCATTAGAAAGTCTGGTTTTATTTTCATTTATAACTGAACCAATGCTGGACATGTCCACCCATGTATTAAGGGTTATCTCGTTAGTCACTGCAGTTGTAAGATATTGGTCATCAAATAAGCTGTGGAGAGTATATGCCCATTGTTCTGCATGCTTGATTCACTGGTTTCAGTGTATATGGTGTAGATTTGTTAGGTTAGTATACTTAGTATTGCTATTGTTATATTAAATTGCACCGAAAATCTTGTATAGCATTCATTATAATTACTCGTTCCAACTGTAAGTTAGAAGTTATCAATTTTAGAAGAAAGGATAAAAGTTTCCCCAAGCTTGCAGGTGTTAACAGTTATCTAACAGTCCTACGATTCATGGAAAAGAGTCACTAAATTATACAATCTGCATCTTTTGATTGGAAATGACGTTAAACTGTCAAACAATGTTATTTTTTTTTTCTTCACACAGATTTTCCTTCCTAAAAATTCATATATTTTCATTAAGAAATGTTGTAGGTCCACCTTATTTCAGTAAGTTCCATTTGCATGTGTACTTTAGTAACCATCGTCCTGATTAACTAATGAAAGCACTATTCTATAGCTCAGTTCTATAACTCAGTTAGTGCTGATTTTCAATAGAGCTTGAAAATTTTGAATGTGTACCTGCTTTTGTATCTTCTTTTTTTGTGCATGTGCTGGATATTCGTGAATTCCGGTGGAGTGTAGCGTAATAGGGTTTCATATATTTTTTCTTATGCTTCTCTTTTTACCTTCCATTAACTCAGTTTAAATTTTTTTCTTAGGTATCACTCCAAGAACTGTGGATGATTTCTTGCCTTGGCAGTCATCTCATAAAGCTGTTATACTTGTTTGTACACATCCCGCCTCTCAATCTAATTAGTTTTTCTTCATTTCATATTACTTGTCTGTTTGATACCGAGTAAGATATCGAATATAGCACTGACTGGGTATTAAGAAATGAAAGTTCTTTTTTATGGAAAGCATGAACGTAGCAAAGTTTGCTTGAGGATAAAGGAAACATAAGTAGATTATGGTGAAATAACTTGATGATCATTGAACCATGAATTGTACATTTGGTACGTGGTTAGGGTATTCCTATACATGCCAGGTACATCAGTCTTTAGTATATCGAATTAATCAATCTATATTTTCTATTTGGACCCTACTATTTTTAATGGGCCAAGTGCATGGAGTCGGTCTTGGATCGATCAATGGGAGCTCTTTCCTCCATAGAAAATCTGCAAACCTAATGAAGGGGCTTGTCGCATCTAGTTGGCTGGGACCTCCTGAAAGCCTTAATCACAGCTACCACAGAGGGCTCTTCAGTTCCCCAGGACACAATATTGGTTTGATTCACCAAACTTATATATGTTTCCTTTATCCTCAAGAAAACTTTTCTACGTTCACAAGAGTTGCTTAACATCTATAAGAAATGGTGAAAAGTTGCCTGAAAATGACTCTCCCATGGAGCTTTCTTCTCAATGAATGTTACTTGTTCTCACTTTTCTCATCACATTATAGCAGTTAAGATCATATGTTCTTATCATCTTGTTCCATGGCATTTTATATTTCTCTCTTTGTTCTTGAATGTGTGAAGGAAACACTGTTCTTTCATATCCTCATTCTTCTTGCTGTTTGGGCCTTTGAGTGTGAAAAGCATTCTCTTTTTGTTATCTTGTTTAATTCCTCATATTTTTATGGTCAGGTTGCAAGTGCTGCTTATGGCTCAGAACATGTTACAGCGCTTGAGGTTCTTAGCAATGTCAAGTCTGGAAATGGATTTGTGGTTGGCATAATATTGAAGCCATTTAGGTTCGAAGGACGAAGGCGCCAAGATGAGGTACCTCTTTTACCGTTTTAATTTTTTGATATAACTTTATTCAGATATTAAATATTAAAATCTGATAACTCCAAATCAGTCACAGAAGTGGATATAGTTAAACCATGTTGATCTAGGATGTTATGCTTTCTCATGTCATGAATGTGAATAGTAAAAGGCACTGAAGTTCTATTGATTTATTTCTTATGTAGGTCAAGGATTTGCTGGAAAAAGTGAAAAAGCAGGCGAATTTTTGTATTGGTTAGTAACTTGCTTCCAAGTGCCGGTAATGTCACCAAAAGATCATTGTCCCTTTTTGGTGATGCTTAAATGTTTTAACTTTAAAAGCACCAGCCAGTATTTGGTTCCTGTGAGCTATGGCAGCTGACAAATTTATTCAAATTTCAACACAGCTTGAGAGTTTGATTTGCGCAAGACTGTTGGTTTTCATATTCATGTTCTATGATGAATGGTTTCCTCGTTTTATTCTACTAAGCACACTTTGTTAAGGAATTGATGCATCTGAAGTTGTCATGCTTTATAAATTCAGTGCTCATTATATTGCTGCTGCAACTGGATGCTTCTTTTCAGCTGGCTTCCTTTAATAAAATAACTGGAAAAAAGTCAAACACGGAACAAAACCTGCCCAAGGCAGAATGCCATGTAATTGCTAGTTTTCCACCTATTGAAATGTTTGATTTGTATTAGAACTATTATCAATGTTGTCATTAATGACAGATTTAGACTTTCTGGAGAATATATTTACTAGATGCATTCATCTGTTTGGCTGGTAAAAATTACCTAAGCTAGGTAGTTCTGGACTATGTTACCCGGACTCTTCTATTTAGGAAGAATACCCATGTCATGTTGTGTCGACACTGGTGTGTTATGAGTGTCGGGTGTGGCATTTTGGCCTAAAATGTTCAAGATTTCTAAACTATTGACGAGTCAGACGCTCATATCACCACACCCGATACGCCACCCATATCCGAGTCCAGGTAGCATAGGTTCTGGAAACAAACATATATTTCATGAATGGACTATAAAAAAATTAAGCATTCGACATGACTTGTCCAAGTTATTGAAAGCGTGATAGAGGATGACTACTGAATGTGAGTTACATTTTGTTGTATAGGAAAGCTGCAGTTTAGAGTGCTGCATACAAGTTATATTTTTATGTTAATCTCTAAAAATTGTGTTGATGTATGGCGGCTGCAGTTCTTGACACTGATGCACTTCTTGAAAATGATCTTGTAACTCTGGATGAAGCTCTAAAGACTTCCAACAATGCTGTTTTGATGGCCATGAACACCATATCAATTCTCTTATCTGTAAGAACACTTTCATTTGCCTTCTTTTCTTGGTTTAAAGTTGTCCACCGTGTGCTTGCTGATACTTGTTAGTTATCTCCAACTGCCTGAATTTGACATAGTAAATTTTGTTGATGTTGACAGGAGGAACATATAAAGCTTCTTAACACAAAAGATAACTTGACCAGAGAACTTCAACTTCACGAGTTTAGAGAAGTCTGTCACTTAACATTCTTATTATTGTTTTGAGTTTTCTATTCGAGGTTCCCTAATTACACAAGTTCTTTATCTGTAAATTTATGAGTTCCCTGCTAGTTTTCTTTTGTCCCAAATATGCTGTAGATGCTCATTCCTTTGCATCGCCTAATCTTTTAAACTGAAGCTTTTGTCATCATCAGATTTTTGCAAGTTACACTGAAGCAAGGATTGGGTTTGGATCTGGATACAATGTCAAAATTTCGCTTTTGCAAGCTATAAAGGATTGCCCTTTCTTGGGTGTGGACGTGAAGGTTCGATTTGGCTCTTTGCTTGTTATATTGGACCAACTATTTTATTTCTAATTCCATTTGCAAATATTCTTGATTATGAACCAACGTGTTGCTATCTATCTATCAACAAACTTGAACTTCCTGAAACTTAAAACCATATAATTTTACCTTCATTTAATTTCTACCACAGTACCACTAACTCAGCTTCTTTTTTTTTTTTTTTCCTGTTCTCACTACAGGAGCTTAATGGAGTACTTCTATGCATCATTGCAAGTTCAGGTGCCATGGACTGCAGTGACGCAGACGTCTTGCGTACTGTTCGTGAGATTACAAAGTGCAATGGTGAAATTATCTTATCTGTTGTTCGTGAGTCCAATCTGGAGGCTAATACAATACTAGCTACCATAATTGTTTTCGGGTAAGGCCCCCCTTGTCAACAAATTTTATAAGCTTCTCTGTATTAGACAAACTATCATCAATTTTTTTAAGTTGCATTTTTTGTTGCACTGCACTCTTATGCTCAAGGGATGATAATTCTAGAGGATGACTTAAATTTATCACTACATATGGAATGGAAGGGTTTGTGCTTAAAGGGTACATGTTGCGACTTGCTTTATATGCCACCAATGTCAATATACAGGAGTTAGATGGCGCCATCAAAATCACCGTAATATTAGATTTTGAGTTCTTCAGCACCAGCACTTTCAGATGATTATAATTTATTGGCAAACCTCTTCATCTTGGACTTGGAAAGTTCAAAACAAAGGATAAAAAATTACTGGCTCAATTTGGCAACTGAACTATAGAGGAAGATTGCTGCAAACAAAAAAGCAGTGTTACCAATGGCGGATGACAGCAGGCTGAAATCCCACCTTAGTGGCTGTCATTGTGCCTACCATGGTGGCCTATGATGCTACCATACTGCCATCCTTCACAAATTTCTAATGGAAGTTAGGCAGAAATTTGCCACACCATAGCGCAATGGAGTAAATTTGATTACACTGTAAAAAAAGATGAGTTGCATCATCCAAACTCCTGCATTAATGATCTTAATGATCTGTAAAATCACTTGAGCAGATTTTACGACTGACTCCCCATCTAAGATGTTTAATGGGATGGAATGATTATCTTTCTGATTGTAATGCTATTAATCTTGAATTGATATTTCACTATGAAGATTACAAGGTATTTGTACAAGCCAAAAGATATGAAAGAAAGGAAAGAAATCGAATGACCTAGTCTACGGGATTTACCAAATCACATAATTGATATAATCTAATGTATACCATATTTACATTAACACTCCCCCTCAAACTGCAGCATGTATGTCGATTATGCCCAGCTTGTTACAAATATTTTTCATTCTTACACCATTTACTGCTTTTGTAAATATGTCCCCCAACTGATCCTCAGCCTTGACATATCTTGTAGTGACAAAACCTTCTTCGACTTTATCACGAACAAAGTGGCAATCTATCTCTATGTGTTTGGTCCGTTCATGAAATACATGATTTGATGCAATGTGGTTTGCTGCTTGGTTGTCACACCAAAGGAGAGCAAATTCTAATCCAAGCTCCTTTAGTAACTGATGTATCCAAACAACTTCACATACTGAATCGGCCATCGACCTATACTCTACTTCAGCAACTGAATGAGAAACAACATTTTGCTTGTTGCTTCTCCACGAAACTAGATTGCCTCCCACAAATATACAGTATCCAGAAGTCGATCTTCTATCATCTTTGTAACCTGCGTAGTCGGCATCTTCAACTGCTCTAGCCTTTTAATAACTCTGACGCCCATAGATTAATCCCCGTCGAGGATCCCCCTTCAAGTAGCACAAAATTTGTTCAAGAAGTGCCCAATGATTAAGTGTCCAATGATTGATGATCGGAGAAGACATAAATCGACTTGCTACACCAACTGCAAAGGATATGTCGGGGCATGTTACGATGAGATAATTTAGCTTCCCTACAAGTGTTCGATATCGTTCTGGATCATGAAATGGCTCACCATCATCCTTTCCTAACTGCATGTTTGGTGTCATCGAAGTGCTGCATGGTTTTGCCACAACTTTTCCAGTTTCTTTAAGAATTTCTTTAAGAGATCTAGCACATACTTCCTTTGGCAAAGGAAAATCCCTCTCTTACTTCTCATTATCTCTACTCTCAGAAAGTATTTCAAGTGTCCCAAGTCCTTTATTTGATAATTCTCATGGAGGAAGGATTTTAGGTTTGAAATCCCATCATTATCATTCCCTGTAACAACAATATCACCGTCGTACACCACCAACAAAATGATTCCAAGACTTGATCGCCTATAGAATACGGAGTGATCGGATTTACATATCACCAACCCATATTTCAAAACAATCAGGCTAAATCTGTCGAACCAAACTCGGGGGCTTTGCTTTAACCCATATAGAGGCTTATGAAGACGACATACCTTCTCATACTCCCCCTGAGCAACAAAACCAGGTGGTTGCTCCATATAAACTTCTTCTTGAAGAAAGCCATGGAGAGACGCATTCTTAATATCAAGTTGGTGCAGAGGCCAGTCATAAGAGGCAACAAGACAACAAGAGAAATGAGCAACCGTACAGAAGTAAGTTTGACTACGGGAGAGAAAGTCTCATTACTCGGTACCATAAGTCTAAGCATAGCCTTTAGCTACAAGTCGAGCTTTACGACGTGCCAAAGAGCCATCAGGATTAACTTTAACAGTAAAGACCCACTTACATCCAATTGTCTTTTTGCCAACAGAAAGACCATGTGCCATTATGATCAAGGGCATTCATTTCTTCAATCATAGCAGCACGCCGTCCAGGATGAGCAAAAGCAGTGCTAACAGATGTAGGAATAAGGATAAAGTCTAGCTTGGCAATAAAAAAACATAAACAGACAGGTTGTCATAAGATACAACAGAAGCAATAAGGTATGTGCAAGATCTTTTACCTTTGCGAAGCGCAACATGAAGGTCATCAGGGTTATTTGGTTTGGCGACATGTGTGGAGGTTGGATTGTGCACAGGGTCTTCCATCGGAGCAACAGACAAATGACGTGAGTCAGAGTCCATGATGACCTTGTGATGGGATTGAGAACGTCGAGTATAGGTCTGTGTAATGGGTGGCCGAGGTCTCTGAGGTGGAGGGGAAGGAGGCCTAGTGAGAGTAACAGAATATAACAAAAAATCGTCTTCCTCTGGAGATGGAGGCTCTCGGGTATGTAAAAATAAAAGGTGTTCATTAAAACTAACATCCCTAGACACAACATAACGAACGAGGATGGGAGAGAAACACTGATACCCTTTTTGCACCCTCGAATACCCAAGAAAAATAAACTTGAGAGACTTTGGATCTAATTTAGTGATATGAGGTCTTGCATCCCGGACAAAACAAGTGCGCCCAAAAATTTTAGGTGGTATAGGAAAAATGGGTTTATCTGAAAATGGAATTGAATTACCCCATATGGCTGAGGGCATTCGATTAATTAAGAAACAAGCAGTAGACACAACATCAACCCAAAAAGTTTTAGGAACATGCATATGATAGAGTAATGCCCGAGCAACCTCGAGGAGGTGTCGATTTTTACGTTCAACAACCCCATTTTGGGCAGGTGTATCAACACACGACATTTCATGCAAAATCCCATTTTCAATCATATAAAACTGAAAAGGTGCAGACAAAAACTCTTTCGCATTATCACTTCGAAGTGTTTGAATGGTAGCATGAAATTGAGTTTTAATTTCAGCACTGAAAGACAAAAGATGTTGGAAAACTTCAGAACGACTTTTCATAAAGTAGATCCAAGTGACACGAGAAAAATCATCTACGTAATAAAATATCTAAAACTAGATTTTGACGAAACAGAACAAGGACCCAAACATCAGAATAAACCAACCTAAATGGGGTCTCAGCCCTCGTGTTTATTCTAGGTGATAAAGAACTACGAAAAATTTAGCAAACTGACAGGACTTGCAAAATAAGGACGACAACCTTGAAAATTGAGGATCCAATTTTTTTTTTAAACCGTGGAGGGAAGGATGTCTCAGACGACAATGCATATCTAGTGCGGAGGAGGGGGTGCAAACAAGTGACTTAGATGTTGGTGTTTCGAAAACGTAGAGGCCATCAGATTCACGTCCTTCACCAAGGAAAGATACTGCACAATAAAATGGTTCAGAATGAATGAGACGCTACAATTCAATGATTAGTATGTTTGCTAACAGAGAGTAGGTTAAAAAGCAAAGTTTGGTAAATTCAGGACAAATTGTAATGAGATAGAAGGAGTAAGACTAACTGAACCAAAAGCAAGGACACGAGTAGTAGATCCATCAGCGATAGTGACATGAGAAGGTGTATGAGGATCAAGGGTGGAAAAAAAATTTGGGTTACCTGTCATATGATCTGATGCACTTGAATCAATGGCTCATCTGGTGCCTTTAGATATTAGGCATGTAGTGGAATTACCTGTGTCACACGGCAGCGGATGAAGAAGGCTTCTCTGTTGCAGTAAGTCGGGAATACTCCTCAGCAAAGATAGTGACCATATCAGAAGATGAAGCAACATGAGCAGAGAAGGGGCCCTTCTGATTCTTCTTTTCCAACTGAATACTTAGTGTGCCCAAGTTCATGACAATAATAACATTCCACTTGGTCGGATTCGGGATTGCGAGTGTCACGATTTGTCGGACCTCCCCGAGTACCATCCCAATCACCCCCTCACCCCTTCGTCCTCGTCAAGATCCGCCACGAGAAACACCTTGGGAGCCTCCACGACTGACCATGGCACTATGTTGAGAGACATTAGTGCCGATAGTTGGAGACTGCATTTCCTCAGGTCGAAGGAATCGGGAAAATGTCTCTTGGAGAGAAGGAATGGCCGATTCGGAGAGAAGTTGATTCTTGAAAGCTTCACATTCTGGACGTAACCCAGTCAGGAAGCTCATAACAACAATTTGTTCCCGTTTCTGCATTGCTTTGACATCGTTGCTTAACGGGAGGAGAGAGTTTAGTTCCTCATAAATCTTGTTAAACTCCATGACATATACCGTAGTGTTTTTATCCTGTTGCTCTCCTCTATGAAACGATTTGCAAACTGAATAAATACGAGAGATATTGGTATGTCCAAAGTATAAGAATGTTAGATAATCCATTAATTCTTTGACAAATTCACAATGATTGACCAAAGAAAGTATATCAGGCTCAATGGAGTTTCGAATTTGTACGAGAAATTTTGCATCATCACGTAACCGCGCCCGACGAGTAACATCTTTGACATCATCTTTGGGAGGATCCAAATCCAAGTGATCGTCCTTGTCAATACTACGGAGGTGGACAATAACAGTTTTACTCTAGCTAAGAAAATTAGAACCAACATCGGTGATCTTATTCATAATAGGGACGATTTCAGTTATAATTTTATTCGCAGCCATAAGATCAGAATGTGCCCGACTGAACCGAATTCAACAAAAAAGGGGCTGAAATTAAGAAAAAATAAACCTGCACACCAAGAGATCACTGAAACCCAAAACTGAGAGCACGAGAAATTCCGAGCAGACGGACGTTTGCCAGAAAAAAATCCGGCCAGACACGCGCTCTCACGCGCCGGCGCGTGAGACAGGCTGCAGGTGGCTGTGGCGGCGCGTGTACCTCACACGCGCGGATTCTGACGGCGATTCTTCGCCGGATGGCCAGTCCGGCGACGACGAGTTCGAAGGTACATGAGGTGAGACCCGAAACTCACCCGAAGTGTGTCTACTCTAAACACCAAAGAATTTTACTAAAAAGTTTCAGAAAACCCCTACTTTATTTTGGTTTGGCTCTGATGCCATGTAATGCTATAAGCTTGAATTGATATTTAACTATGAAGATTACAAGGTATTTATACAAGCTAAAAATATGAAAGAAAGGAAAGAAATCAAATGACCTAATCTATGGGATTTACCAAATCACCTAATCGATGCAATCTCATCTATACCATATTTACATTAACACTGATCGAGGAGCATAAGTCTTAACCGACTATAGAACATCGCTTCAGCTACTCCAGTTTGTACGGTTGGAGATCTATCATTGATCTCATGAGTTCTTTATATTCCTATCAAGCTAGCTGGTGAAAGTGTGAAGAAGATACAAGAAATCTGATTGTGGGAAATTGGAACTTTGGATGTTACACAACATCGAGCATAACTCGGATTATATAAATTAATTAGAGAGTCGATGGGATGAAGGTGAACTCTTTTTGAGAGTCTAGACAATTATAAGGCATTAGGCATGAAACATATGAATTGTGTTCGTTAGAAGAGATAATATCAAAATGATACCAGCATTGTGCATGGGAATAAATACCATTGACATATGGGTTTGGATGAAATCTAAAATTGATTTACTTTTACGGGTCAAAGTGCATGAATCTTTTCTAAACACCTGGAAGAATTTTGTATTTCTAATGAAGTCTTGATTTGGTCGGTGCACATGCTCAAGTTTTGTTCATGCTTACTGACAGTTACATCGTTTCTTCATATTGCCAACATAAGATTATAATAGGTAATTTTAAAAAATTAAGTAAATGATCATATCTTCTAGCTTATATTGGTCAAGATGGTAAAGGTTGCCTGTACCCGATGCTGCATTTAAATCAGGTTGTCTAGTCCTCATGTATAAGGCTTTAGTATATCTTTATGCGTGTGGTGTTCTTCCCTCTGTCTTGGTCACTATTTTTTTTACATGCTTGGTACTTATATATTGTTTTCCTTTTATATACCTTTTGTGCCTGCACTGGGGACCAGCATATAGTTCGTATTATGATTGATTTTTTTTTTTTGCTCTATTCTTGTTTAATGTAAATATCCCTACATAGTAGCTCATACTTAATTGTTGATAGAACTTAGCATTTTTTTGCATATTTATGAGCATCGGATTGTCTTTAGTTTGTGAAGTTCTGTCAGTACAAATTTTTCGATTGACATTTTTTTTTTTTTTTTTTT